TGAATTGCACTTAGGAAGCAGGATTGCTCTGGGCTGCGAGGTACAGTGCATATCTGTCATTGGGCACCCTTGCCCTGGGCTCTGTTTAAATGAACCCTTTCTCCCGTCTGAGCACACCCTGGCTCCAGGAGGACAGTGGCACAGCCGGGAGCAGAGAGAGCTCAGGGTCTGCCCTTGGACCACCATTTCCTTACCCGCTCTGACATGTAGATACACATTGGCAAAGGCTTTTTGGCTGAAGAGAACAGCCCAAAATCTGTGGTGTGCTTCGACGCCCCGCCTCGCTTGCAGGCTGTGCTTCCATTGAGGAAAATGAGAGCCCTTGTCAGGACTAGCTTTGTGGTAGTGAAGTGGGCAGGGCTACGTAGCATCCCTTGAGTCTTATGCCAACGGCACAATCTGCCCGTTCCACTCCCCAAGCTTAGCTTTACCCGGCTGGACACGATGAAGATCTTGGTGCTGACCTGTCTGCTGCTGACTTTGCAAGCAGCTCATGCTGCCACCGGCTTTCCTAAGGTAGGGGAGTAATTTGGAGTGGGTGATGATCTCTGTAGGGACATCTCGCCGTTGGGGGCATAGCTGTAAATCATTAAATCATTTGTCCTGGTTGTTCAGGCTGGTTGGATTGCAACTAGTAAAGGCTTTTAGCATGTGTCCTTTTCCCCCCATATCTTCATCCCTTCAATGATTGATGCGTGTGTCTCTGCAGAAGACAAATTTATTTTACTCCTTTCCATAGTGCCTGTCTCGGTTCCTTTGAAGATAAGGAAATGCCACAGTTAAATTGTTAAAGAATGTCCACAAAAGAGAGAAGTGGCTTGGGGTTAAACAGCACAGAGAGTGCAAGGAAAGTTTATATCCTGCCCATAAATCTTCTCAGGCGAGCAACTGGGTGTCATTCTGAGGCTCTGCTTCTAGCCTGCTTCGATGTCAAACCAGAATCTTCACTCCTGGCCAACCTCCTGTTTTGAACCTGGCTTCTCTGGATTCAAATAATTCATTCGGAAGTGATTTTTATTTAGTCTCTGTTTCGAGCTGGTTATTCGCAAGCCTGGTTAGCACAGAAAGGAGGAAGCTGGAAGGGGTGTGAGATGTGCTCCAGGGAGGTGGATGACTGGGAATTCTGTGCATTAGACAGCAACGTGGTATTGACCTTTCTGCATTTTAATTGTGGAAATGCTGTTTCTAACTGTATGGAATTTAAACCGATTTCAGCCAGATCCCTGACAGGACAGCCCTTCCACAGCTTCCCAGCTGAGGGATTTACTATTTGGCACCAAGTTTCAGTTGAATTTCCTTTACATAAATTGTGTGTGTTTATATTTAGTAATCTAGAAACCCAACCAACTCTGCCTTCCAAGGAGCAGTCTGGGTGGAGCCCTGTAAATCTGTGGATATAAAGCAGCTCATTTTTTGCAGATATGGATGAGGATGCAGATATAAATTTTGTATCTAGAACCCTGCAAATTTGTGGATAGCCGCTTTATATCCACGGGTATCCACATCTGCAGGTGTCAGCACAGATAACCGCGACTCATTTTCGCAGCTACAGATGCAGATGCCAAATTTTTATGTTCAGGGCTCTCTGTATTAGAAGAAATCACTGATGCAGGCATGTTCCCTGTTTTCCCAACCACACGTTGTCTGTAGAGATCATTCAAGTGAGTCATTTGCAGTTTAATTTTGTGGTTTCATTTAGTTCTTGAGGAAATGAACATTGGAGTTGTTGGCCAAAAGTGCCTCGAACACACTAGTCTTTTGGGGAAATCTTCACTGGGGATTACTGTCATATCTAAACTCTGCTCAAAGCAGGATGAGCTAAGAGAGAAGAAAAAATGCCAGTAATTGTCAGAGCCCTACTTATACTAGTGCTTCCACTATGGGCAAAGTTCTGCATATACTGTCCTGCTGTGTGTGGAGACTTCCTGAAGAACAAAATGCATCTTCACGGTGAGCTCTCAGAATGAGATAGAAGTGGGGTGGTTGTTATTTTCGTTGGTAATTAACCAAGGCTTACTTGTCGTGAGCAACCAGTCTGAGTGAAACAAGTTTCTCTAGTGAGCATCGATACTTTTTAAATACTGCACCGTTTACCTTAAGCAACCCCAAAAGAACCCCTAAAAATTGGTGTCAAGTATCAGAGGGGTAGCCGTGTTAGTCTGAATCTGCAAAAGCGGCGAGGAGTCCTGTGGCACCTTATAGACTAACTGAAGTGTTGGAACATAAGCTTTCATGGGCAAAGCTTTCGTGCATGCATCTGAAAATTGGTGATTTATGCAGAATGATATGCCACACCCTGTAAATTGGGAGCCACTGGAATTACACTAGGGTAAAATTTGCACAAGGAGAGATTCATACCCAGGATTGTGGCTAATCAGAAACATTATGACAAGATGTTTTTCATTGAAAAATGCTGGTCCGTCAAAATCAGACCGTTTTGTGGGAAAGGGTTGATTTTGATGAATTTCTCAACTTGAGCTATCTTTTGAAAAAGTTTTGTAATTGTCAGTGCTTCTGTCAACATGTTGGAAATGAATTTTTTTGTCATTTCAGCTTGAAACCAATTTTGTTTGAAAATGTAAGCTAATTATAGTAATATATATTTTAAACCTGACAGATTCAAAACAAAATGTTTCCATTCACTGGAACTGAATCCCCCCACCTCTCATTTTCAGATCATGAACAATTTTGAGACGTTTGACTTGGTCCTGATTTAGAAAGGGCAACATTTTCAAAGTCTCAGAAACATTCCTGGCATGAAAAACTGTTTCCTTAGGCTGTTGGTGATATTTTAGGGCACGCTGCGGAGGCAGGAAGTTGCCTGGTAAGAGTTGTCTTCTTTAGTTTTCTCTGTAATTGAGAGATCGCCTCATTGAACTTAAAAGGGGATGTTTGTGTTAACCTATCAGCAGGGTCATAGCTATTGATGGACAACCCCCTCCCCCACCCACTGTTACTCTGCTTTCTTGGGACTCTTAACCTGCTCTAACACTAGCATCCTTCCCACAGCTCTGTGTCTGCAAGTGAGTGGGTTCTGTTTTCCTTCCTCCTTGTTCCAATTTCTCCCCACCCTCTTGTCATGTTAAATGAGGTACCACGTTCTGGAAGTTTAATTCTCTGTTTCCTCTCTTTATTATGCCACTTGCTGTTTGTGACAGATTATTTCAGCATTTCTAAAGCAGCAGTAATGGGTCTGTTAATCAAGACCAGGTGCCTAGCAAACAGTTGAGCCAAATGATGTTGCCCGCCTGCTCTTCTAAAAGCAAGTCCCTGATCTATGCCGATGGGCTGGAGAGGATCTCGTGTACGAGAGAGTGTCCCCATTTTGCAACAGTGGAACAACGCTGATTGACTCTGTCTACACTAGCACTCCTGTTGTTGCTGTCGCCAATGGAGCTTCAGCTGTGGGCGATTTTAAAGGGCCAGACAAGTGTGGGACTTGGTCTCCCTCTAGTGACTGCTCTAAGAGGGTTCTGATTATGATTTATTATTTGTACTGTGGCAGTCAAGACCAGGAGGACTTAATGGTGCTAGGAGCTCTACAGTCACAGAACAAACAAACAAACCAATATTGCCCCTGCACCAAAGTGCTTACAGTTAGAGCCCTGCAAATCCAGGGATCCACCGGGTTTCCTCATCTGTGGATGCGGCGGCTAGCCTCAGATCATTTTTGTGGATTGCGGGTGGATCCGGACACAGGTTTTGAATCTGCCCAGGCCTCTACTTACAGTGGGAGACAACAAGCAAATACAGGGGAGAACAAGGAACATGCTGGGTGTTGTTTCTGGAGAGAGGACTTGACTTGCTGAAAATTCTAGAGTGAGGCCTCCCTGTCAACCAAATCTGGAGGCAGTGACAACACCCCTGAATATGAAGTGTAGCATTCCTTCTAATTTAGCTACACCGCCTGGGGCTGAACACCTTACTTGTCTGGGGGATGGGGGTGTTTCTTTGTGAGTTTGGAACTCTTTAAATGTTGTGGCTTCTTCCCCACTCCCCCCCTGTAGCTGTACGGGGAAGGCTGAGGTAGCAGGACTCCGTCTCTCTTGTGCTAGGGAGCTGAAAGAACAGTTGCTGGTTGCACTATCCCAAAGGGGGCAGTTGACTGTGATGGGCTAATCCAGAATGAAACCCTTGCTGGTTACCATGTGTAATTCATTCATTTGCCTTGAACATCCAAGTGCCTGCGCTTCCTCCTCTCTCTCCATCTCCCAACGTCCTTCCTGGCTGCACCCTCAAGGAGGTTTGCGGCCTAGAGTGTTATTCCAGGGGCTGTTAAAGGGAAGAGAAAGTTGCAGACTGAGGGCTGGGCGTTTAGCAAATTGCCCTTAATTGAAATGTGTCTCTGGGCATGTGACTGCGCAGGGACCACAAGGGGACTTTTACATGCTTTGAAAGTTGTACCTCAAAGACTTTGGGAATGGATGTATGCTTCATTTAACTCCATGGACTTCGGTTTTCCTCTTGCACCAGGGTTGGATTCCCATCCTCAGAACTCTGGTCCCTGGCTCCCCCCACAAAAATCAGTGTTTAATTTTGTTTTACCTTTTTGTTCAAGGCTGATAAAAGAAGGGACTACATGGTTTGTCTGCGGCCTTGAATGTCACTTGGCATCCAAAGCATTGACCTTTATCAGTTTTTTAAAATCATACTCGTGAACTATTGAGCTCTAGATTATGGCTCCTTGGCTGGGATGTTCCATTTTGCTCTGAAATTAGGGATAAACTGGCCTCCCCATTAAACCAGATCAACCAAACTGCTCAGCAACTCTGCGTAATCAAAAATAAATGAAGCAACTGCTCCATGCTGTGGTTACCCAGCCGTACCTGATGCCCATCTCATCGTGGGCGAGGGAGAAACAGTTGGACCTAAAACAAACACGGGTTGATTTTGGACCAACATGGCAACATCAGGTGTTTTCAGAGGCCTGGAATGCCATCAGAGAATGCTCTGTCTGGTTGCAATGGTTACAAATTACGTTTCTTCTTCCTCCCTTTCAGGGCTCAGAATTTACCTCTTCGGATTTGGCCCTGAGGAGAAACCTGACCTGGGAGACTCCCCGAGACAACCATAGTCCTCATCCCAATGGAAGTGCCCTCACTTCAGCTCTGTCTACCAAAGGGCTCTCTGGTGAGGAGGACGAGGAGGAGGAAAGCCTTTCTATTCAAGAGGAAGGCTTTGAGCTTTTGAACTCTACCTACAATAAAATTACAGGACCTGGCAGGCCCGGGATTGGCGGAAGTGAGTTGGAGATCACAGAAAATGCCAGTGATTCCGTTACCACGGTTACCTCAGTTCCTCCCTCTGGGCATCGAGACGCTCAGGTGGCTGATGATCACTTTGTCCTTTTGGGACCCTCCCCTAAAGTCAGCAGACCGGCTTCCAAGAAAGACCACGTTTCGAAACCCCAGGACGAGAACATCACCACAGAAAAGCTGAAGGGAGACTCAGGCTCTCGGACCTGGTTCTCACCCAGCAAACCAACCGATGCCATCATAGACCTAGACAATCCTTCCATCTTCTCCAAAGTGTCTGCAGAGGTCAGTCAGGCAGCGGCCTCTGCAGGAAACATATCCAGGCCCCCCTCTTCTGAATCCCGTAGGGAGGCGGAGGCACCTATGGGTGGAGGAACCCTAGAGAGCCCTTCTAAAACTTCCCTAAACCCCGAGGATGCTGTGAAACCAGTGCATAACACAGGGGCCATGCTTCGGGAGAAGACAGGCAGTGAAGCAAAGGGAAGTGAGGGCCATGACCAGGGAAGTGCCTTATGGACAGCAGCAGATGGACAACAGGTTCGAGTGAAGCCAGGACCCCGTGGGCCTCAAGGACATGCTGCTGTGTACAGTGGGGAATTCTCATTTGCCATTCGTGAAGCAGTCAGAAGTTACAAGCAACAGGCAAAGGCACCCCCTTCCAAACAACAATACGTGCTGTTGGGTGTGCAGGGGACTTCCATTGCTAGGAAGACTGGACTAATGGGCAGCCACCGGAACAATTTTTGGAGTGGGGGTGCTGAGATGCTCCCTCCCCCCCTTACCTTAGATGCCTATATACAAATGCGAGAAGTATGGGTAATAAGCAGGAAGAACTGGAATTGCTAACCAATAAATACAACTATGATATCATTGGTATTACAGAAACCTGGTGGGATGGGACGCATGATTGGAATGTTGGTATGGAAGGGTACGACTTGCTCAGGAAGGACAGACGGAAAAAAGGGAGGAGGGGTTGCCTTGTATATTAAAAATGTACACACTTGGACTGAAGTGGAGATGAACGTAGGAGATAGCTGTGTAGAGAGTCTCTGGGTTAAGCTAAAAGGGGTAAAAAACGAGGGTGATATCATGCTAGGAGTCTACTACAGGCCACCTAGCCAGGTGGAAGAGGTGGATGAGGCCTTTTTTAAACAATTAACAAAACTATCCAAAGCCCAAGATTTGGTGGTGGTGGGGGTCTTCAACTATCCAGACATATGTTGGGAAACTAACACAGCGAGGCACAGGCTATCCAATAAGTTTCTGGACTGCATTGGAGACAACTTTCTGTTTCAGAAGGTTGAAAAAGCTACCAGAGGAGAAGCTGTTCTGGATTTGGTTTTAACAAATAGGGAGGAACTAGTTGAGAACTTGAAAGTGGAAGACAGTATAGGGGACAGTGATCACGAAATAATAGAATTCATGATCTTAAGGAAAGGTAGAAGGGAGACCAGCACAATTGAGGTAATGGATTTCAGGAAGGCAGATTTTGATAAGCTCAGAGAACTTGTAGGTAAGGTCCCATGGGAAGCAAGACTGAAGGGAAAAACAACTGAGGAGAGTTGGAAGTATTTCAAAGGGACGTTGTTAAGGGCCCAAAAGCAAACAATTCTGCTGTGTAGGAAAGATAGAAAATATGGCAAAAGACCAGCTTGGCTTAACAAGGAGATCTTGCATGATCTCAAAATAAAAAAGGAGTCCTATAAAAAATGGAAACTAGGACAAATAACAAAGGATGAATATAGGCAAGCAACACGGGAATGCAGGGGCAAGATTAGAAAGGCAAAGGCACAAAACGAGATCAAACTAGCTACAGGCATAAAGGGAAACAAGAAGACTTTTTATAAATACATTAAAAGCAAGAGGAAGACCAAGGACAGGGTAGGCCCACTGCTTAGTGAGGAGGGAGAAGCAGTAACAGGAAACTTGGAAATGGCGGAGATGCTCAATGACTTCTTTGTTTCGGTCTTCACCGAGAAGTCTGGAGGTGTGCCTAACGTAGTGAATACAAGCAGAGAGAGGGTAAGTTTAGAAGATAGGATACACAAAGAACAAGTTAAAAATCACTTAGGAAAGTTAGATGTCAGCAAGTCACCAGGTCCTGATGAAATGCATCCCAGGATACTCAAGGAGCTGATAGAGGAGGGATCTGAGCCTTTAGCTATGATCTTTGAAAAATCATGGCAGACAGGGGAGATTCCAGAAGACTGGAAAAGGGCAAATATTGTGCCCATCTATAAAAAGGGGAATAAGAACAACCCAGGAAACTATAGACCGGTCAGTTTAACGTCTGTCCCAGGGAAGATAATGGAGCAGGTAATTAAGGAAATCCTATGCAAACACTTGGAAGGTAATAAAGTGATAGGGAATAGCCAGCATGGGTTTGTGAAGAACAAGTCATGCCAAACTAATCTGATAGCTTTCTTTGATAAGATAACGAGCCTTGTGGATAAGGGAGAAGCGGGGGATGTCATATACCTAGACTTTAGTAAGGCATTTGATACGGTCTCTCATGATATTCTTATTGATAAACTAGGCAAATATAACTTAGATAGGGCCACGATAAGGTGGGTGAATAATTGGCTGGATAACCGTAGTCAGAGAGTTGTTGTTAACGGTTCTAAATCCTGCTGGAAAGGGATAACAAGTGGAGTTCCTCAAGGGTCTGTTTTGGGACCCGTACTGTTCAATATCTTCATCAATGATGTAGATATTGGGATAGAGAGTACGTTTATTAAGTTTGCAGATGATACCAAACTGGGTGGGGTTGCGACTTCTTTGGAGGATAGGGACATAATTCAAAATGACTTAGCAAGTTAGAGAAATGGTCAGAGGTAAACAGGATGAGGTTTAATAAAGAGAAATGCAAAGTGCTCCACTTAGGAAGGAACAATCAGTTCCATACATACAAGATGGGAAGCGACTGTCTAGGAAGGAGCATGGCAGAAAGGGATCTAGGGGTCATAGTGGACCACAAGTTGAATATGAGTCAACAGTGTGATGCTGCTGCAAAAAAAGCAAATATGATTCTAGGTTGTATCAACAGGTGTGTTGTAAGCAAAACTCGTGAAGTCATTCTGCCGCTCTACTCTGCCCTAGTTAGGGCTCAGCTGGAGTACTGTGTCCAGTTCTGGGCGCCACATTTCAAGAAAGATGTGGAGAAATTGGAAAGGGTACAGAGAAGAGCGACAAGAATGGTTAAAGGTCTAGAGAACATGACCTATGAAGCCAGGCTTCATGAACTGGCCTTGTTTAGTTTGGAAAAAAGAAGATTAAGGGGGGACATGATAGCGGTTTTCAAATATCTAAAAGGGTGTCACAAGGAAGAAGGAGAAAATTTGTTCCTCTTGGTTTCTGAGGACAGGACAAGGAGTAATGGGCTTAAAGTGCAGCAGGGGAGGGTTAGATTGACATTAGGAAAAAATTCCTAACTGTCAGGGTGGTCAAATATTGGAATAAATTGCCAAGGGAGGAGGTGGAATCTCCCTCTGGAGATATTTAAGAACAGGTTAGATAGACATCTGTCAGGGATGGTGTAGGTGGAGCTTGGTCCTGCCTTGAGGGCGGGGGGCTGGACTCGATGACCTCTTGAGGTCCCTTCCAGTCCTATTATTCTATGATTCTATGATCTCTGTCCGCTCCCCTCACAGCCCCTTAGAGCTAGGGCTGGCAGTTGGGGGTGCATGCGGGGCCAGTGGGCAGGATCCTGGGCTCAGTAGCTGGGCAGGGCCGCATGCGGGGCTCGGGGTCATCGGCCAAGCCCCTGTGTGTGGGGCCGGCAGCAGAGCGGGACTCGGGGTCATCGGCCAAGCCCCTGTGTGTGGGGCCGGCAGCAGAGCGGGACTCGGGGTCATCGGCCAAGCCCCTGTGTGTGGGGCCGGCAGCAGAGCGGGACTCGGGGTCATCGGCCAAGCCCCTGTGTGTGGGGCCGGCAGCAGAGCGGGACTCGGGGTCATCGGCCAAGCCCCTGTGTGTGGGGCCGGCAGCAGAGCGGGACTCGGGGTCATCGGCCAAGCCCCTGTGCATGGGGCCGGCAGCAGAGCGGGACTCGGGGTCATTGGCCAAGCCCCTGTGTGTGGGGCCGGCAGCAGAGCGGGACTCGGGGTCATCGGCCAAGCCCCTGTGTGTGGGGCCGGCAGCAGAGCGGGACTCGGGGTCATCGGCCAAGCCCCTGTGCATGGGGCCGGCAGCAGAGCGGGACTCGGGGTCATTGGCCAAGCCCCTGTGTGTGGGGCCGGCAGCAGAGCGGGACTCGGGGTCATCGGCCAAGCCCCTGTGCATGGGGCCGGCAGCAGAGCGGGACTCGGAGTCATTGGCCAAGCCCCTGTATGTGGGGCCAGCAGCAGAGCGGGACTCGGGGTCATCGGCCAAGCCCCTGTGCATGGGGCCGGCAGCAGAGCAGGACTCGGGGTCATCGGCCAAGCCCCTGTGCATGGGGCCGGCAGCAGAGCAGGACTCGGGGTCATCGGCCAAGCCCCTGTGCATGGGGCCGGCAGCAGAGCAGGACTCGGGGTCATCGGCCAAGCCCCTGTGCATGGGGCCGGCAGCAGAGCAGGACTCGGGGTCATCGGCCAAGCCCCTGTGCATGGGGCCGGCAGCAGAGCAGGACTCGGGGTCATCGGCCAAGCCCCTGTGCATGGGGCCGGCAGCAGAGCAGGACTCGGGGTCATCGGCCAAGCCCCTGTGCATGGGGCCGGCAGCAGAGCGGGACTCGGGGGCATTGGCCAAGCCCCTGTGGGTGGGGCCGGCGGCAGAGCGGGACCCAAGGTCAGCAGCCAAGTAGCTGTTTGTAAAATAATCACTCCTACAATAATTCTGTCTCAGTCACAAGACTTATTCTGCTCAATCTCCCCTCCTCAGACAAAATATCACCAGGCTATTGGGTCACTTGCCGTTTAAATGTGGGTCCATTAGGCTCCCTCCAAACCACTTTCCTTCTGCTGCGGTTATTGCCTGCAGGACTAGACCAGTGAAGAGAACAGAAGACCCCAAGAGTCACCTTGTTCACACAACTCTGGACAGTGCTGCTGTCTTGCCCTCAGAACAGGGCGACTAACACACGCAGAGCACGCAGCAGAATGGCCGCTCCATGCTGTCTGGTGGGCATGGCCTCGCCTGGGAAAAGCCAGCGTGATGAAAGCTGGTCCAGCGCCCTCTGCCCCTGAGCGGTCTCGAAAGAGGGAGTTTGCCGGAGCAGGGGAGGTCAAGCCTCAAGTTCTCCCAGGGCTCCCCTCCTGGCCACCGGCCCAGCCAGTGCACAGCCCCTGGCTC